CTATAAGATTTCATTCAGGGAAAAAAAGTGCTCTGCCACTAAAAGAGTTAGAAAACCAATGTCATAGCGGATGCCAGACTTTTAATTTCATGAACTGGTATAATTAAAAGAACATATCAACACCAAAAATATAGAGTCTCAGAATAAACAACAGCTTTTAAAATTGAATTTTCAAGTTACATTTAGCTTTGGAAAATGCTTTTTACACTGTCCTGTTTTAGTTTTCCTATTTGACCTGATCTTGATATCTCATCACAGACCAGCAATATTACAATCTATATATATAAAAGGCTAATATGCTAAATGTCTGACCATCTGACCGGTCGCTATGATGCGCTCTGACCACAGGAGCTGGCCATTTACAGAGAAACAGCACTGCGGACCTGGCACTGACAAAGCAACACTCAGCTTCCCCCAAGTGGGACACAGGCCCCGCCACCACCCCAGAGCGACAGCCCACCAAATTGCAGCCAACGCTGCCAAGACCCTATGGTGCAAAATGTGGCCCACAGCCCAGTCCAGCCCAGAAACATGGCTGTGGGCACCGAGTAATGATGTCATGTAGCAATGCCCGGCTTCCTCTCCCTAGCGACTAGCTTCCTTAGAGTTTCTTCAGCCCAGAACATGACTTGCTTTATAGCCATGTGGAAACATTTTACACTTTAACCAAATGTCTGTGAAGTGTTTTCCCATGCCTCATCTCATTTGATCCTCACAGAAGTCCTGAAGTAGGTAGATAGGAGACTCGTGGAATCCTAATTTATTTTCATTAGCCAGAAAACAGAGATTTAGAAAGCTTAGCAACCTGACCCGACTGAAAAGAAATGGTGGACCATGAAAATGACCTCAGGTTTTCTCACTGCACAGAATATAGTCAAACACTGCTGCAGTTAAATATTTTACCCTTTGTTCTCCCTGCATGATCTACAATAATAATCTGCTTTGTGTTGCTATTTACTGCTGTGTTGCTGACAATTACCTGAAAGACAAGTTGGGGTTCTTCACTGGGCTAGAAAAAGTTTACCTAATTAGAAAGTAGGTCTAATTAAGCAAGTTTATTCTATATATATAAAGGCTAAGTTGACTCGTGCATGCATGATATATATAAAGCTTTCGCTGGCGCCAATCGCACACATGTGTTTCTATCTGTCATTATCGATCGTGAATTTGGTTGACACTTCTATTACAGAGAAAGGGCGAATAGCGATATTAAAATATTTCTTCTAATTAATTTCCTTAGTTAACCAATAAAGCTCTTTTAAAAATACAGAGTTCTGAACCTAACCTCTGGAATGTTCAATTTGGTAGATCTGGGATAGGTCTCCGAAATCTGTAGTTTTTAAAAGCTCACTAGATGATTCTCACGAACATCTAGGTTTAGAAAATACTGATTTAGTTATCTTCTTCCACAGGAATAACTGAAATATTGTTTCTGTTGCTATCATTAGCAACATGATAAGAGATCATGGATCTCTATTTGATTCTTATGATATACATATATAGTCTTATAAAAACATAGGTATATATTGAAATGCTCTGTTGCTCTTTCTTCCCTTCCTCCCTGTTTATCTATCTCCATGATCACTTATCCACAATTCCAAAATTCAAAAAGTTCTGAAAATTGAAAGTTATACATAATATCTGGTAGCAAAACATGACCTAACTAGAAAAATTTGATGACAAATCTTGATCTCAACAAGTATGTCTTTAATTTATCACACGTTTCAGTGTAGAAATGTGTGTGATTATGATTCCCGAAGCAACCAAAATATAATGCAATATATGGAATATGTGCTGTGGGGAGCTGATATAGGGTTAAGCCTCGGACTGACCTGTTGGCAAAGTCACAAACAATTCCCAGTTAGAGGGCACAGTCCTCTTAGCATAATTAGGCTTGACCTTATGAGGCTCTCTAGATCTTATCTGGGAAGCTAATGGGCTGAGGGAAGTGCAGGAAGTGGCCAAAACAAGTGAAAATCACAAGAACTGTGTAACTATGGTAACCACTACCTTGTTTACCTCTGACTATAAAATAAAGGCTCAGCTTGCCTCGTGGATCTTTTCTCTGTGGCCTCAGCCAGGCACAGGAAGATCCACGGAGACTAAAGAGAGCTAGAGAGTTCTGAACGCTGTCTCCGTGTAAAACATTCTTCGCTGACTCTGCCCACACCTTTGGGAACCCCTGGACCGCTGGGGCTGGACCCGGCAATGTGCCTTATTGGCATTCTAAAATATAAAGTAGTATAATTTTGATTTGAATATTAAAACAAATGGCAACTCAAATAAAAAACCTGTTTCCCTGTATATGGCAATTTTCTCAATTACCCATTATATGGAATGGCTATTGTTTAAAATGTTCACACCTTGCCCTAGCCAGTTTGGTTCAGTGGATAGAGTGTCGGCCTGAGGACTGAAGGGTCCTGGGTTCGATTCCAGTCAAGGGCACATGCCTGGGTTGCGATCTCGATCCCCAGTCGGGGGCATACTGGAGGCAGCCGATAACTGATTCTCTCTCATCATTGATGTTTCCATCTCTCTTTCCCTCACCCTTCCTCTCTGAAATCAATAAAAATATATTTTAAATAAATATATAACTAAATAAAATGTTCACACCTTAAAAGTACCTAAGAATGAGGAATAAGACAATTTTTAAAAATATTTTTATTGATTTTTTTACAGAGAGGAAGGGAGAGGGATAGAGAGAAACATCAATGAGAGAGAAACATCGATCAGCTGCCTCCTGCACACCCCACACCGGGGATGTGCCCGCAACCAAGGTACATGCCCTTGACCAGAATCGAACCTGGGACCCTTCAGTCCGCAGGCCGACGCTCTAACCACTGAGCCAAACCGGTTAGGGCGAGACAATTTTTAAATGTTCCTTTTTGGAAAAGAGCTGTATGTAACCAGTTACTTTCTTGCACAAATTATATGTTCCTACCAGGAATATTTTCTCTTTGAAAACATATGGGGCTTAGTAAATACACTTATAAAACACCTATATGAACATGTTATGACAAATAAATTTGGTCACTCCGTTGAGTTTTTTAAAGTGCGATTTTATCTAACCCACCAAGATAAACTCAGTGTATTTTAACTGTCCAAACACAGAAGTCACAATTATCATACTAATTCAATTGTTAGCACATTTAATCTTCTTATATACTGTAAATCTTCTTATATATGCATTAAATATAGGCAACAAATAAATATTACTCAAGTTTCAGTTCAAGTTATTTATTTATGAAAGACAGGTCTGAGTCAGTATGTAATTTCCTCCTCTATACTACAAGAAAAAGGTCTGGAATCTACAAAATGGAACCAAGAGAAGTAACTATTGACAGATTATATGAGTCAAGTTACACCTCCTCACTTCTTCTGACAGACTGAAGGGTAGTTAATAGTTTATTTTTGAGGTTTAAACTATTGATAACAGTACTTTTAATTTGATCAGACATACATACATTTCAGCAAAAGAATTAGTAACCAATTATCTTGTTATTGGAAATCACATAGGGTAGGCTTAGGTAGAGAAAAATTAATTTGCATTATTAGAATAAAAAAAGCAATTTTAGAGCTATTACCTCAAATCCTTACAAAAGTTCTGGGGAAAGAGATAGCAATTAGTACTCTATTTCTTAATATTTAACAGCATGTTCAAAACTTTACGATTTAATATGCCCTTCCATTTCATTTTATCTGCGTAACAGCCATATAAGGTTGACAGGTCGGTTAGTATGTTTACAGATGAGTCAACTTTGCCTGCAGAGGCTATATGACTCCCTCTAACTCATATGTTTCTTAAGAGGCAAAACTGGGATTAGAAACTGATCTTCTGACTTAGTCCAGTCATCTTTACTTTATTATACTGCTTTAAAAAATCCTTTAATAGGGCTACACTTTCATAAATTATATCCTTTAAAGTGCAGTGATAACTGGGTCTTTTAGTCATCTACTCTCTTCATAAAATAACCTGTTCTGCACCTCCTCACACTTTATTCTTGGTTTATCTTGGACAGTTCAGCCCAGTATGTGTTATCAATATTCCCAGTATGACTTACATAATGTAATCCTCTCACCAAAAGTCTTTCTATATGTATTTCAGACTTACAAACTAATGAAGGCAAAGAGCTTTAAAATGAGCTATCAAACAAATACTATTATTAACATTTTTGTCATTTTGCCAAGTTTCATTCAATGGCAAGATACCAACTTACTCTATTTTCTATAATGCGAACTCCTGGAAAAAGGGAGGAATTACAACGACATGGAAAACCTGTGATGGTATTTCAGTTGTGAAAAGCAATTTCATCCTTCTTTAATTCAAGGTTTCACACAGCTTGGTTCCTAATCCCCTTCCTTCAGTGGGAATGCAGGTGCAACTTATGAATTTTTATAGCTTTAGGTAATAATTCGTTTCCTCATGTGCTAAATCAGATTACTAACACACGCACTCAACTGACTTTGAAGGGCTGATATTAAGCACTTTACCTTATCAGTCACCTCCACCCAGAAAAAGGAAGAAATTCCATAGAAGCGACTGCATTCAAAACCTATACCTTCGCCCCAAACCTCTGGCAAACTCCTGCAGCCTGTTTCCACACCATCCTTTCGGATTTATTTCTAAAAAGTGGGTAGATCCACTGAAAGAACAGGTGACAGAAGCCCTCAACGAAGGAGGATTCAAGCTCAAGAATGTTCTCAAACCAGTCCAGCGACTCAGTTCCAAGTGCCCTGATTGTAGGATGGCCACGGCTACCAGAAGACAATCACAAACAAAAAAAGCTGCCGGCGCTGACCCCGCCCTTCTGCAACGAGACCTAAAAGATCACGCCGCGGAGCTCTTCCCTGGGCTCCAGCCCCTGCCCTCTTCCCCCTCCCCCCTCCTCCCCGCCGCCCCTCTCCTCCCCCCTCCTCCCCGCCGCCCGCCTCCTCCCCCGCCACCACCATTCCTCTTTCCCTAAAGCCCTAGCAGCAGTTTATCAGACGGGAAAGGATACTCTCCATGTTCGACATGGCCCCACGACCTTTCTTAGGAGATGACAGCCCGGACAGCGGCACGGGTTTGATGTGAGGGCGATTAGAATTTCGTCCAGGTCTGCCGCTGGTCTGACATTTAGATTGGAGATCCCACTTCCTGTTTCTGCGCAATGCCCACTGGGAGGCGGAGCTGTCCGCGCACCTGGGGCGGAGCTGGGGTTACGCCAAAATGGCTGCCCCCGCTGAGGCGGTTAAGGTGGTTGCCGTCGCTGGGGGGCGTGGGAGTTCCACGGGCGGCGGTTACGCCCCTCCCCCTCTGGTACCTTAGACAAACGGGCGCCTAACGGTTTTCGTCGCTCAGCTAACCTAGTTCCGAGCTCTTCTTAACCTTGCGCCCACCTCTTCCCTCAGATTTCATACTATCTTTGGCCCCTCAGTTCTGTTCTCAGAGCTTAAATCTTACGGATGAAGGAAAAAGGTATTAGGGCTTTTAAGTACTTTTTTTTAAAACTATAATCATATGAAATAAGAACCTAAGGGATAACGGGGTTGGCAGTTTTGAAATGTGATGTTCATTCAGTTGAAGTTTTGAAAAGGATCGTGATCCTTAAACTTTTAGGGCAGGACAAAAAAAGTAAACTTAGTTTTAAGAGGTAAAGTTGCTGTGAGACGTATATTCGTAACAAATTAATTATTTTTTTACAATAGATGGTGTAAAATATGAAAATTACTACTAACTATCTCTAAACTATAGTTGGCGGGAAGGTTAATCGAAATACTAAATAGCAGTTGGTGGTTTATATGTGACTTATTAAAACAACGAAATGTAATTTATAAGACGCCATCTCTAGATTTATAGTAAGGAAGGGGATCTTTGACGCGTTTCAGAATTCTTGGAAAGTCCAAGGACGAGCTAAGAGATATTACTTTGGGGAAAATAGCTAGGATAATTATTCTCTTACTGAGGAATTTTATCAATTTGGCATTAAAAGTTTCCTAATCTTTAAAATTTTAGTATGTGGGAACAATAATGTGCTGAGCTTCTTTTTATCTTTAGGAAAGTTTCCTATTGAATCAAAGTGGTTCCAAAAGCTACTGCTCTACTTTTCTGTTAATAATGATTGGTAGGCTTCAGACTATTACCTAATTACAAACTCTTGATGCTGGAAAAACAAACCTTTTTAAATATAAGGTTAATCTGGAAACCACTTCCATAGAAGAAAGAGTACTGTAAAAATATTGTTTTTTGTTTTTTTTATCTCTTTGTGTGAATAGGTATTTGAGAAGTAAGATATATTTCCAACGGGACAGACAAAACTTGGTAGATTTCATTGCTTCATCACTTTCCATGCTAACCAATGTATTTCACCGTTTGAAAACTGTTTTTTGGTATAAAGGTAAAAAAATGTTTTTTTAAAAGTTATACCCTAGGAGCTTAATATTTATTAACACAGCTCTTTGAATAAATACACATATAGACCAGAACAATTCACTAAAGCTTAAGTATTTCCAGGTTTTATGTAAAGATTTTGTCGTTATAATTAGGTAACCAATAAGAACAAGCCTTTTAAAATATTTTAAAGTGTTTTGCATATTGTTGAATTTCTTAAGAAATGTTTCCTTAGGGATAGGATTAGGTTTTTAGTAAAATCAAGATCTGAAGATATTTGTTCAGTTAGGAAATTTGTTACTTATGCCCATCTTAAGTGAAAAATATATACATAGCCTTTATCTTAAAAGATTAAGAAGTTTTACTTTTATGAGTTCTGAACTAATTTTGACTCCAAAAAGTGCTTTAATTTTTATTGGATATCTTATTTCTAAAAGTTAGATTTAGATTTTTATCTTAGGCATAGTAATAAAACTAAAATAATATATATTCTTTTGTAGCTGCTGCTGTTGAAAACAATGAATTGAAATTTGTTAAAAATCATAAAGTTGTTTTATTACCAGAAAGTGTAAAAGGAAAGACATCAAATTTTGTTTTGTTAAATATTGAAGACCTATAAAATAATATTTGCAAATTATGAGTACAGAATAAACAAATGCAATACAGCTGTGTTGAATACAGCAATCACCTGTGACCACCCAATTTAAGAAAAGAAAATGAGCATTCCCTTTAAATTCCCTTGTGTACCCCTTTTCCTAATCATATTCTTTTCCTTCCCTCTTTAGAGGGAATGCTGTCTCAAATTCCTGTTTTTCTGTATTATTTACCATAGTATTTGCATCCCTAAATACTATGTTATTAAGTGTTGCATGTTTTTGAACTTTGTGCAAGTGAAATCATATTGCTTTTTCTTCTTGACTTGCCTTTGTAACTCATTATGATGCTCTTTATCTGTGCTGTTACATATAACCATAGTTCATTCATTTTCACTGATCTAAAGTATCCCACTGTATGAATATATCATAATTTATTCATCCATTCTCCTGATAGATATTTGGGCTAATATCCAGGTTAATATAGTCTCTAAGACTATATTAATAATTGTTATTATTATATGCTCTGATTACACACTTAAGATCAATAGCTTTAGTCTCTTAAACAGGTTAGGATGAAATCTGGAAATTTATTCAAATTTCTTATTGTTTTGGGTTATCTTGGACCTTAGCTTTGTTTCTTCCACTCTACCAGATTTAGTAATAATGCCTACCCTGTCTTACCTAACAGGCAACTACAGTAGTTTCTTCTCCTTTCACCTTTATAACAGGGCTATAATGATAAAGACAATAGGTATAGGACCTCCCAAATTGTTATTTGGGGACTTAGCTAAAATCTAAACATGAAGGTTTAACTGAAGAAACATCAGTCACATATTGATAAACTCAGATCACCTATGGATACTTACAAAGATGTGCTTCAAAATACTTGTGAAGTTTTACTGGGATAATTGAAATGTAAAGAAACAATGCAGTATCTTAACTCAGCAACTACTGAATATGCTAATGTTTGGCATGAATGAAGTTAATGTGGTAAATTATAATAATTCCCCCAGCAAATTGAGTTATTTGCATGATTAATGATTCTTAGTTCTCTAAATAATTTGCAACCTACTGTGTTATACATAAAGAGCGTTGCTTTCTAAAGTTAAAAACATTTATAAAACAATTGCAATTGAAATACAAATTATTTAATTTTTAATTTGCGTTTTATGACAATACAAGATTTTTGTTATTTTTAGCAAATTGTTTCAAGATGATTAGAAATTTAAATGGTATATAACAGTTAAACGTCCACTGACATAGGAAAGAGCACACCAGAAATGCAAATGGTGTAGTATTATATAGTATTTGTCAAGTTGTTAAAAATAGACATGGCTTGCCTCACCTCTATAGATTCTGATAGCATAAGTTTGGAATTGAGCCCAGATGTCTATATATTGCCTCTGTTTGTGTAATGGAAATGAACATTCTAATATAGAGTAATATAAATCCTATATTGCCTAATGTAGCTCAATTTGGATGGAATTTCATAGTTTACAAAATACTTCTTATACTTGAAGTAACCTGAGGCAGCCTGGGTAGGCTTTATCCTCCTTTTCCAATTTAAAAAAAAAAAGGGAAAAACAAAGCACAAATAAATAATAATTTGCTCAGGCAAGTTTTGAGGAAATGAAGTCTATATTCAATTCAGACCTCCTTGATTCCTAATCCAGTACTTTTAAATGTGTATAGCAGATTGGCAAGGAGGAATCATAAATAAGGCCACTTCTGCGTCTTGCTTTCTATAGCTCAGGTGCCCATCTACACTAATAATAGGCAAATATGTAAATTTACCATACCTCCATGATGCCCCATAGCCAATCAGGAGGGAATATGCAAATTAGCGGGACAAAGATGGCGGTGGCCATGGAGCCACCTGGAGCGGGCGGGAGGCTTGGGTCGCCCAATCTTCCAGCCCGCCCTGGCCAGCTGCTGAAGGAGGGGGCCTGTGGGCAGTGGCCACAGAGCCAGCCTGAGCGGGAGGCGTGGGTCACCCGGGCCAGCTTCCAAGGGAGGGGCCTGCAAACGGCCCTCAGCCCCTCACTCAGACTGGCCACGCCCCCATGGGGTGAGGGTTCCCCGCTGGGGGGCATGGCCACCCTGCAAACAGCCATCAGCCCCTCACCCAGGCTGGCCAGGCACCCCAGTGGGGACCCCCACCCTGAAGGGGGTATGGCCAGCCTGAAAACATCCCTCAGTTCCTCCCCAGGCTGGCCACACCCCCCCCAGTGGGGACCCTCACCCCATGGGGATGTGGTTGGCCTGCAAACTGCCCCAGCCCCTCACCCAGGCTGGCACTATCCTCAGTGGGGACCTCCACCCCAATGGGGGCACGGCTAGCCTGCAAACCACCACAGGCCCCTCACCCAGGCCACCGTGCCCCCCAAGGGAACCCCCACCCTGATCCAGGACACCCTTCAGGGCAAACCAGCTGGCCCCCTCCTATGTACCAGGTCTCTATCTTCTATACTAATAAAAGGGTAATATGCTAATTAGACTGGGAAACCTTCCAGGAGACCTTCCGGACGTTATTCTGGACAAAGCCATGGTGGCGGGGCCAAGGTAGAGGCGGTTAGGGGCCAAGAGGGAAAGGCAATTGTGGGTGATCAGGCCAGGATGGGATGGCAGTTATGGGTGATCAGGGCAGTGGGGAGGGGGCGTTGGGGGTGATCAGGCCACAGGAGGGGCAGTTGGAGGTGAGCAGGCCAGCAGGGAGGGCCAGTTGGGGGCAAGCAGGCCATCAGTGGGGTTCAGTTGGGGGCAATCAGGCCAGCGGGAGTGCAGGTGGGGGTGAGCAGGCCGGCAGGCAGAGTGGTTAGGGGTAATCAGGCAGACAGGCAGTTGAGTGGTTAGGAGCCAGTAGTCCTGGATTGCAAGAGGGATGTCCGACTGCTAGTTTAGGCCCCAAAGGGTCCCAGATTGGAGAGGGTGCAGGCCGGGCTGAGGGATATCCCTCCCCCCATGCATGAATTTCGTGCACGGGGCCACTAGTTTACTATAAAAGTAAAAGGAAGAATTCCAGCTGACCAGCAGTCTTTCTAGTTTCCATAAGAAAATTCCGTTTCCTAGAAATCCTAAAGTGGTAAAAACTAAAGGTCTTTCCTGTTCATGAAGGAAAAATTGTTTCACTAGGCAGGCAGAGAACAACTTTCTGATTTCATTGT